GCTCAACCTGCACGTCTTATATAGCCTACCGGCTGAGAAAGGACGTTAATCTACAATAATAATAATAATAATAGGGAGGCTAATCAAGAGATCTTTAAAGAAAGAGGGAACGTTCTCTATAGCTTGCAAGATACTTTAATATATGCATTAGAGACTGTAGGTAATCCAAATATTTTAAGAGCCGGAAACATCCGAGCCGAGAATAGATTCCGGTTTGCAGCAGTCCGCATAAGGCGATCATGGTGTCTATCATACTGGTGGCGGTACGACTCTCTCTCAGTAGAGAATGATTGGTGTTCAGGCTCTACTCAAACACTAATAGAGGGCTTAGTCGTTAGATGCTATTGGATTACTGCCAGGCGTTCTGTGGCGTGAAAATCGCGACGCAAACAGACATAAACACATATGACTTCATGTGCTTCTTCCCTCTCTGAGTCCTCTATCTGGTAGCACTGCACCGCAAGCAGAAATGTTGTCGTTGTCGAATGATGTAGAAAGAAAGAGGGGAACTGGCACTAGGCCCGTGTGCGTGCAGCATGATAAGATAGGGGTGAAGAAGAAGGAGAGTCCAGATGGGTGGAACATATCGCTCTCGACTGAGAAAGTCAAACCTTATTGAATGACGGTGGCAGCGGCTAGGCTTTTCGACATGTTCGTTTTCCATGTATCCTTTGCTGCGAAAAAGAGTGATGAGAGAGAGTTTAATTCGCAAAAGAGGGTATAATACGTCCACATTATGTGGGCCTCTTCCATACCATACTGGTTTCATAAAGGCTCTGCTATACCTCTCGCGCGGATGCATGATTCCCAGCAGCAATCAGCTCGCGACCCCATTGGAAGAGAGCAGCAGCCATGATAACCTTTTCGTCCTGCCATCGCTTTCCGATGATTTGCATTCCGATGGGGAGGGGAGGGGGAGAGGAGGCGTCCTCGGCCGATCGAGGAGGAGAAGGCGTACCAAAGCCGCAAGGCACACTCATCGCGGGGTGACCCGTTACGTTGAAGGGACAAGTATTGTTGGTCACGCCGATGGTGGACTCGAGTCGTTTCAGAATCGTAGTAGAGTCAGCATTCTCGAGCTTGTTGTTGGACGAGGACGAGGAGCAGGAAGTCTGCGACGGGAGAGGCATCGTGACCGAGGGAGCACACGGCGTGACGAGGACGTCGACGTCTTCGAGCGCGCGATCATACACGGCACGCAATTCGAAGACTTTGCGATGGGCTTTGGCTTCGATGCCCGACGTCACGTGGTCGTGGGTAAATTGGCTGCTGAAGAGAATGTTGGCGAGAGCGGGGTTGGTGGCGGAGATGGACTCGAAGGTCTGCTGGGTTAGGGGCCAGTGGGGACGGAGGTGTGGCGGGGCAAAGCTCAAATGCCCGGCTGGGCTGGCTTGATACAGGTATTTGGACATGGATGGACGGCTGGCTGCTGTCCAGATGATTGGGGCTTCGCGGTGCATAGGGATCGAGATGGGGACGACTGTTGCACCTGCAGCTTCGAACGCTTTGGTCGCTGCCTCGATCACTGTCTGTTGGACCAGGGAGGAGACGCCGAGCATGGAGAAGGCTTCGGTCAAGAGTCCTATCCGCCATACCCGGGCTGTCTCGGGCTGGACTTTGAGTTGCTCTTGGAAGTCCTCCAGCAGGCGTTGATAAGGTTTCACGTTGTCCACCAGTGGAGATTCGGGCGACATGCGCGAATCCAGTCCGTCGTAGCCTGCCATGACTTCCAGTAGGAGCGCAATGTCCTTCAGATGGGTGGCGATGGGACCAAGATGGTCGATCATGGGCATCATGGAAGCTGCGCCAGTATATGGTACTAGGCCAAAGGTAGGCTTGAGACCCAAGAGGCCACAGTACGAAGCTGGAATGCGTACGGAGCCGGCCTGGTCGCTGCCGATTGCCAGTTCCACCGTTTCTCCAGTCACCTCGGGCTTGTGCGGATAGAGGGCATGAGCAGCGACGAGTGCGCAGGAGCCGCTACTACTGCCTCCGGAGGTATAGCCGTGGAGGTGCGGATTATGCACGGGGCCGGAGGCAGAGGTGAAGGACAGAGGCGAAGCGCAGAAGCACTCACACGTGGACGTACCTTTGATGGTTCCACCCGCGGCCAGAATACGAGAGACGACCGTGGCATCAATGGGGGACACGGGGTATTCGTTCTGGTCGGAAAGGATCGAGGCCGGCGCCCCAAGTGTTGTCGGCAGGCCTGCTATGCAAATGTTATCTTTGATGGCGACGGCGCGGCCCTGCAGACGATGGCTGCTCGGTGCGGCGGCCGAGAGATTGCATTGGTGGCTCCAGGCATTGTATGGGTTCTGTGCGGCGGATGGTGCCCAGTATTCTCGAGGCTGTACAGTCGGCAGCGGCTGCAACTGTGGCGGTATGTAGTCGGCGGCTCTCTCGACGTGGCTGAGGACGCTCTCGAAGGACCAGAGCAGGCGCAGATAGTCGTGGGCATCTCTATCGTCCGAGACATGAATCCCAAGCCGGCCCGCCAACCGACGAAAGTCATCGACATGGAAACCGGAGCTTCATCACTGCATGAGCAAGCGCATGTATCACCGGGGCTGGCGCGCTCTTACCTCGACGCGTCTGCGAGTGCTATGATGGACATTGTGTCGACGCCATGAACGCCTGCAGCTCCGTCAGGGAGGCAGCGAGCACATATGCTTGGACAGGGGCATGTGGATGTGGTCGTGCTGCCAAGTTCAAAGTGGATAGTACTAGTAGTATGGCGTGTAGTAGGTCGGATGCATCAAACACCAACTGCTACTCCATCAGTGCATGCATGTGTATATCTCGCAAGTACGCGCCTTGGTCGGACGGTCCGACGTCGTATCGGCGACTCGGCAGCCCTGTCTACAGCACTCGACTTCACACAATCCCCCCCTGCTACAGTATTGCCGCCACCAACGCCCATCCTTATCATCACTCTTATCGCCGCCATGGATGCAGCCCATGCTGCCATGCCGTCTCCAATTCTGCGCCACGCCCACCGCCTCAAGATAGGCTGATGGTCGACATGGCCATAATTCCAGGCAATGGCCCCGTCCAACTCCATCTCATCGCTCCGCATCGCCAGCACCGCGCTGCTCTGTCTTCAAAGCCATGGCCGCCATACAGCACTCCAAGGACGAGGAGAAAGACCCTGCCACGACGCTCGGGCTGGACCGATTCGACACCAGCGCGAGCGGCATGGGTACCGGCATCGTCACTGACATACCCTCGGGAGCGCAGTCGTTGCATCGGAGTCTGCGCGGCAAGGAAGTCCAACTCTTTGCCATCGGTGGTATGTATCGCCCTCTCTGTCGGGCGCCTTCCTCGCTGCCCTTGGCTTGACATGCACGCCGCTGACATGGCATAGGCGCAATTGGCACGTGTATGTCTTTCCCGGGACGACATGCGCCAGATTCAGCGAGCGTGACTGACATGGTCGGAACATGAAGCTCTCTACGTGCAGATGGGGTCCGCCCTGCCCAAGGGCGGTCCGGCGGGACTCTTCATTGCATTCCTCCTCTGGGGCGGCGTCATGTGGGCCGTCAATGAGTGCTTCGCCGAGATGGTGACCTATGCGCCCATTCCGTCCCCCTTCATTCGTTTCGGTACAGAGTGGGTCGACGGTGCTCTCGGCTTTGGTATGTGCCTGCGTATTTCCTCGTGTGCTCAACGACACTTGCTGACCGAGTCACAGCCATGGCCTGGTATGGAGTGGCCTTCCTCTCTCTCGCTTCATCCTCTACACGGCAGGATGCTGATATTGAATTGCAGGAATTTCTTCTTCTCCATGGCCTTTCTCGTCCCTTTCGAGATTGTCGCTATGAACATCATGCTCACCTTTTGGACCGATAAAGCGCCAGTCGAGGCCGTCATCGTCGTCATGATGCTGCTCTACACCTTCCTGAACATGGTGACCGTCCGATACTTTGGCGTTGCAGAATTTTACTTGTCCATCTTCAAGGTCTTGCTCATGTTGGGCCTATTCGTGTACACATTCATCACCATGGTCGGCGGAAATCCCTTGCATGATGCGTACGGGTTCCGGTACTGGAAAGATCCTGGAGCATTTGTATCGCATCTGGAGCCTGGCTCGGTCGGAAAATTTCTCGGCATCCTCTCCTGTATCTACCAAGCAAGTTTCTCGTGCGTATACAGACAGGCGGAGATTCATGTGCGGCATGCCAACTGACTTCGCTCAGGATTACTGGACCAGAGTACATCTCCATGGTAGCGGCTGAGACTGAGATGCCACGCAAGATCCTCCCGCCTGCATTCAGATCCTTCGTCTGGCGCTTGCTGGTCTTCTTCGTCGGCTCTGCGCTCTGCATGGGCATTGTCGTTCCCTACAACGACGGAACACTGAATGCCATCCTCAGTGGCGATATTCCGGGGAGTGGAACAGGTGCAGCATCGTAAGCGTCTCCTGCACTGTGCATGTTAATATGATGACTAAGCCTCTTGTAGTCCGTATATCATATCGATGGAGCGCCTCAAAATCTCGGGCTTGCCTAATTTGGTCAACGCCCTAATCATGACATCCATCTTCAGCGCAGGCAATGCTCTCCTTTACGCTGCCACCCGCACTTTGCATGGCATGTCACTTGAAGGCCATGCACCCCGATTCTTCTCGAGGTGCACGAAGAACGGTGTACCGATCTGGTCCCTGGCATTCTCCCTTCTCTTCTGCCTATTAGCTTTCCTGCAAGTCAACAGCTCCTCCGCAATCGTCCTCACCTACCTTGTTGACCTCGTCACATGTTGCCAGATGCTCAACTACGGCTTCACTGCAGTCACGTATCGCCACTTCTTCTCTGCTCTTCAGAAACAAGGTATATCTCGCGACACGCTTCCATATAAAGGACGATTTCAGCCGTATACGTCGTACCTTGCCATGGCCGGCACGTTGTTTGTCTTACTCATGGCGGGCTATGATCTATTCCTCGATGGCGGGTGGGACGTCATGTGGTTCTTCCTCGATTACGGAATGATCGGTTTCTTCATCCTAGCTTTCGTCTTTTGGAAGCTGGTGTGGAGGAGCAAGTACGTTCGCCCGGGAACTGCAGATCTGGGTCTCGGCGGACTGAAGGAGCAGATTGACACTTACGAGGCGGTCCATGTTCCCCGGGAGCCGGGCAGAGTCGGCCACATTGTGAACAAAATATTTGAGTAAGATAGATTTGTGTGCTCTATTTCCAACCTCCATAGTCGTAAACATTAGTATCTTGTCCCTGGTTGGCCAACTACATCAAGCAGGGACACCTTTGAGCATCAAATCAAGCAACTTTGTAATTGACAGATTTGAGCTTATAGTTCTTCCATCGGGCCCGTACTGCGATGTTTTTCCGTCGGTCAAGGCAAACT